TTTGTCGTAGGATGTATCCGATAGCAGTTGGAGAACTTGTTCCCACTCCGAAGAAAAATCTCTCTGCAGTAGCTTATTCGTAAGTCTTTCCCAAACCTGAAAGGAAAAGGGACATAAGAAGAATAGGTGATCACGAGACTCAACCTGAGCACCGCATAGTCCACAGTCCATCTTGACATTTATATTCCAATTTGAGATTCGATAACCCGTAGAGAGTTTGTTTTGACAAGCGAGCCAAACGAAGAATGCATATTTCGGAGTTGCATAAGGAAACCAAATGGCCTGCTGCCATTCCTTTTGTGGTTGACTTGTGCAAATCATGTTCCACGTTCTCTTCGAATTGAATTTCGCTGAGTAGTTATTATTTGCTGATTTCCAAAGAATAAAGATAAACATCAGAATAAACGCTTATTAATCTGATGTTTATCTTTATTCGCGTTTCTAGGTGAGGGAAAGGTGCAGGAGAGAGTGGACGATGTTCCAGGACAGATTGGATAATGCAGAAAAAGCTTACTTCGAAGCATCTGCTCACAACAATGCTTCTTCACGGCTTCACCGGTAAAATCATTCTTTTAAAAATGAAAAGAGAATCTCTAACTTCTAGCTTCCGCTCTCATTGTGTTTCCCTGTTAATTTTGCTGCAAGAGTTGTGCTTTGATTTTTAGAGAACATTTTGTTTTCTCCGGTCACAAAGTAAACTATTCTATTCGATACGGTGTAAATACGAATTCATTTCTTTTAAGCTATCGGTTTTAGAATATTGCTAGAATTTTATGGTTTCGAGTAAGCTACGATTAATTGTGTTTTTTTTACGTGTCCCACTTGTTTCACGTCTTTTTCAGTTTTTGGTAGTATTAAATGTGAAGTTGTTGGTTGACTTTGGTAGGCTACGCGGTCAATCGTCATTAATTAAACAAACATTAAGCGTTAGATTACACAAAACATTTCAAAATTCAACTGAACCGGTATACTCCCTCTGTTTTAAAAAAAAAGTGTCACTTTAACCATAATTACGTAAAGTAAACAATAAAGTTAAAATTCCTTTATACCTTTTAACTAACTAAGTAATTACAATAATT